CCTCACGCCATTAGGGAAACTGGGCATCAAAGAAAATTTTCAATAAATGTTTGGGCTGGCATAATAGATCAGTATTTAATCGGGCCTTATGTTCTCCCGAACAGATTAAATGGGCCAGGATATCTCCACTTTTTAGAAGATATTTTGCCAGTACTCCTAGAAGAGATACCGTTACAATTAAGGCAACGGATGTGGTACCTACTAGATGGCGCTCCTCCTCACTTTGATTTAAACGTACGGCAGTTTTTGAACATTAGATTTCCTCAAAAGTGGATAGGCAGAAATGGACCTACTAAGTGGCCTCCGAGATCTCCGGACTTAAATCCATGCGATTTCTTTTTGTGGGGTCACATGAAACAACTGGTTTATAATGAACCTATTAATAGTGTTGAACAATTAACCAATAAAGTTAATGCGGTAGCCGAGGAACTACGACAAAATCCAAGACTAATTTCTAATGTTCAAAGTTCTTTGGAAAGACGATTGCAAGTGTGTGTAAATAATAATGGACGGCATTTTGAACAATTACTGTAATAAACTTTATTTTGAATTAATTGGTTTTGCTACGGCAACAGTGCAATTTCTATGGGTAAGTTCAATTTCGATTTATTTTACTTCTTTAAATATGGCAACTAGTAGGTCGGAAAAGGGGACTCTTCCCCAATATTTAAATTTTAGAATTTGAAGTTAAAATTGGTGCCAATCGTTTTTGGTCATTACATACTATTCACCATTTTAATATGTACGTGTATTTCAATAACACCCTGTATATTTCATGCTTTCTGAGTATGCGAGTATGTTATGCCCAAGAAAATATTTTTTTTTGTTTTTGTTATGTTTTCATTTATAAGCTTTCGTGTTATTAATGTTTTTAAAATGTGTTTAATATTTATTATACATATAAAAGTTGTTCTTTTAAAATTTACTTGTATTGTATGTTTTTTGATTATTTTGTTTTTAAATTATATCAGAAATAAAGTCAATATTTTCACTACCCCCCCCCCCCCTAAACTCTGGATGCGCCACTGGCGTAAAGTGACTTTTCCGCACTGCAATCGCGTGCGGAAAAGTATCACTTTCCGAACTTGCTAGGTAAACTGCTATTTCTTCTATTAAAAATTTAAAATGTTTGTCTGGCATTAGCTGGTATTAGTTAGATATGCAGAGCCTAGTTAAAGAATTTAATTTAGTCGCTAATTTGCTTTCATCATGTTGATAAAACTAATCCTTCTAAAACAACCTTTAGATTGCTAATTCGATTATGAATTTTATGATCGATAACGTATACAGTTTATGTAAAAATTGCAAATTATCCTCCAATTTCAATTTTTTTATACATGTATGACTATCGCCGCGATCACAAACGCCTACCTCTGCAAAAATTTGATTGAATTTTCAGATTGCGTAAACAAAAAATTCCCGTGTGTGTATATCTACTTTAATCTTCGAATTTTTTCGTTGAGTGGTTTTATTTTTGTTGGAAAAATGCCGCTCTAGTGGATTTTGTGATGTCACGCTTTTTTCGAACTTCCGAGAGATAAGTGAAAAAGTTTCACGAAAGTTTACTCATTTAACGGTAAGCCGAGCTAATTGCGGTATAGCTCCGTCTCTACTCATCATTAGGAACTATGCTTCTGTTCTTTTAAAAGGATTCTAATTCATTTAAAATTGTAGGTAAAATAAATCAACAAGTGTAAAAAATTGGAACGATTATTTTGAAAGGATTATAATTTGTTTAAATTTTATAATATATTTCTACAATTTAAACATAACATTTTGAAGACCTGTATCTCTGTTATTAATGCGCCCATTAACATATATGAGTGGTAAAGAGAACTAAGGATTTACCGACACCAACGAAAGATTGTTATGTAAATTCCGATACTTTTAGTTCTTAACGGGAAACATTCTACAAGACAGGAGAGTTTAGCATTTTTATAAATAAAATATTGCAACGAATTGAGAACCTCCTCCTTTTTTTGAAGCCGGTTAATAAATATGATTATTAAAAGTTCAAAATAAAAGTAAACGCGGCTACTACCAATAAAATAATTTAAGAATTGTTACTATTACCACAGCTTAACAATACAGCTAAAACACTCTCTTGGCGGCAACGGTTTGCGTCGATTTCGTCGCGCATCGCTTAAGCTCCGCCTTCGAAGGGAAAAGACGGTTTTGGTGTTCAGAAGCGTACTTAGGTAAGGTGTTGAGTCGTGCGTATAATTTCGTTGATTGTATAATTTCGTGGAGCCTATAATTTCGTTGATTGTATAATTTCGTGGAGCCTATAATTTCGTTGATTTTGTTTGAGTTAAAGGTACTGTTATTATTTTGGTGACTCTTTAGCTATGAGTAGAATGAGTGAAAAAAAAAGACATCATTCTGTTTGTGCAGTCAAAAGCTGTTTTAATAAGGGTTATACCTGCAAGAAAACATTCTTTAGTTTTCCCAAGGACCCAAACCGATAAGTACCACATTATAAGAAATTTTCATTGTTAAAAATATAATTTATACAGGGTATCCCATTAGTGCGTTATTGTTCATTATTTTGTTGTAGACACGCAAGAAAGTTTTAAATAAAAGTTATATGGATTTGAAAAATACCTACATATTTTAAAAATATCTTTGGATATACAGGGTGTCACGTTTTTGCCTGGCAAATTAAAATGTATGTTTTTTAAATGGAACACCTTGTATTTTATTTTATGATAAAATTATTAACACCCTAAATTATTGTAAAGACGAATTGATACAGAAAAATTTTATCAGGTATGTGTGTGGTTACCTTTTAATAAAAGCCTTGCGGATCCACTCCTCTGCGATACCTGTCTTAAATATAACAAAGATCACGTTGAATTAGATGATTTTTCTTTTTATTGCTTTTTAAAGGCATATGATAACGCCAATCCAGATACATTTGGAAATCTGCAACTGTCAAATGATGAATTTGTAGAACTAATATTCAATATTGAAAAGATATTTCAAAATAATTTTGAAGAATTGGCTACAAAAAATAACATTTGTACCACACTTTTAGAATTAATTAACCCAATACCCTTTAGTCATCCATGCTAACGTTTTCCAAAAGAATAACTTATTTTATTGTATGTTTAATCTCAATAACTAAAAAATATACTGACAATTAGTTTGACAGAATTGTCATTTATTTAAAATTTTAAAAATAATAGCAGTCGGTTGATCAAAATATGAACGGTGATTGGCGAATTTATTTTTTTTGCAGTGTTCTCACTACCTAGAATGGATATGAAATATTTTCGTTCAATTGAAGGCAATAGCATACTTTTTCGTTTTGTAATCTGTGCATGGATATTAGCCAATCTATGCACATACTACAAAACGAAAAAGTATGTTATTGCGTTCAACTACGAATATATTTCATATCCATTTTAGGTAGTGAGAACACTTTAACAAAATTAAATCTACAAATCACAGTTCATATTTTGGTCACCCAACTCCTATTATTTAAATTTTTTTAAATAAGTGACAATTCTGTTAAACTAATTGTCAATATATATTTTAGGTATTGATATTAAATATACATTAAAATTTTTGTGTAGACTCGATAAATAATAGCATTTTTGTTTTTATTGTGTCCACATTTAAAAAAAATAAATTTTAATCAAACTACATGATACTAATTTAATTACGAGTATTAAAACTAAAGTCCTGAAAGTTTTGGTGAAGATGAGGACAGAGCATCTGCCTTCCACGCGAAAAGCCCGGGATCGAATCTAGGCCGAGGACTAATTAATTTTTCATGTTAATTTTATTTTATAAATTAGTCAACTTCGTAAATTATTTTAAAATTAGTTATTTTGTCTAAATAACCTAAAATATTTTTTTAAATTTGTAGATTTTCGTTAGTGGGTCGTAGAAAAAATATACTGACCATATCGAGTGGATTGTTCATATCACAATCAGACGATTGAGTACTCCGCATACGACGTCGTGCTCAAACTTCGTCTTTGTGTGATATTGCTATCATATCCACCCTTGTTGAACAAACTATAATTTATTTGTTTTCTTGGTTTAAACCAAAACTTAAGTTTTACATCAGAAATAGGAACTAAATTAATTTACTTTTCAAGTTTTCTTATAAAAATCGATATTACTTTCTCCAAGTACAAATTTAGTACCTACCTAAAATAAGTACTAATTATGTAATATCGTGTAATATTGTAATTCAAATTTCACATTACTATAAAGTTTCAAAATTCCCTACTTCGGTATGGTCAGATAAAAATTGAATATATTATATTAATAAAAACTGTCAAAGTATTACTTCTACAAATCTGTATTTCAATTAATAAGAATACATCTAAATATAACCAATATTGTTAAAATAAAAGCACAAATTCTTTATAATTCCAAAATACCATAGAGTTCCCAGACCTCAGTCGAAGCATTCGTTTATCTAGGTATAAACCCTTTGCGCGAAGAGTAACACTTGCCAGAGACACGGGGTACCACTTGATTTGCATCCACGAGCGTGACACAATTCTTTAACAATTGAAGCCCTTGGTGTAAAAAGGATCCAAGCCACAATTTGTCGTGAAGTGACTGTTTTAGCTCAAAACATTTGTTAACGAGGATTTTACTAGCCACATACAAATTATTTTACCTCTAATCCGAAAGATGTGCTATTTTTCGTAATATTTATATTTAAATAATTTTTTTAATTATATTTGACAGATTTAAAACAAATTAAACATTTAATTTTCCAAAACTTACTTAATATGACATGTAACCAACCTTATTACGCCAAGGTTTTCAATTTTTTTAATAATAAAAAAATTGTTTAATCCGGGCCCGACTTTTCCCTCGAATCTAACAGAGATAGCACCATTCCGTCTTGCTTGGTTCTCGACCGCCAGATCAAAGACGCCGACACGGAGTTGTGGAGCTGTATATTGTATAAGCTGTGCTATTACCATAAAAAATAAATCGCAGCATTTTAATTTTAATTTTTATTGTTTCAGGTCACACACGCCAAGGTCTAAAATGCCGAATCTGCAAGATGAACATCCACATGGACTGCCAGGAAAAAGCTTCAAAATGTCAAACAAAAGCAAGGCTTCTCAGAAGGCAAAAATCTACATCAGAAATCGAAACACGAGTGCCAGAGTTGAACCCAGACGAAGAGAGTAAGTGTTTTTAAAATATAATTAAAAGTAATTTTATAATATTATTAAATCGTACAAAATTCGAATATTACAAATCGTCTATAAAATCAAAATTAAGGAAAAAACGTGTAGTCTAATAGTACTCCTAAATCAGGATTTGATGATTTTTATCTATAGTTATATTTATTATATTGTAATTCGTTGCGTTGGACAAATAGCTTTCAGAAGTTTAAAATATTTGGCTAATATTTGTCGATTGTCAAACTTTTTAAAAACTGTTTTGGCCATTATTTCTTCTTTAGCCAGAATATTTTAAATAATTCAACATTTTTGAGTTTTTTTACATCTAAATACCCAGATTCCATTTTGATAATGGCAACCATAGTGATCAGTGATCAGATTATTTTTAACAGTGATACTTTATGTATTCTTATAGAGCAGACACTTTTTTAATAATTTTAATACTGCCGATTATTTAATTTGGATAATCGAATTTTGTTAAAAAAAGAAAACAAATAAAAACCTTATTAACTTATGTCAATAAAAGATTTCATTATTTTATTTGAGTTAATTCGATCTTTGTCTTAACATTAGATTTTAATGTAGCCTATCAATCTTATATATCCTAAGGGTTTGTGTAAGCTTTTTAGACATCCATCTTTCTGTTTATTTTGCAACTTGACCTCCATACTTTTATTCGAGTTGAACATTATGTTCTTATATAACTCTGTTTTACTTTAATAACTGGTATATCAGATTTCTCTTATTTTACTTCAAAAAAAGTTTTGCGCCCTAATTTTTTGATTCTAGATTTTAATAAATAAATATCTTCAAAACTGAATGTTTTAACTTTTTTTGTACAGAGCTGAGCTTAGAACTATAATGCCATCGAATTGGTTCATCACAGTCAGTATATATCTAAATTTTGGTAAAATAACTGATATTTATGCAACCAATATTACTACTTTTCGTGTATTGTTGGTTGCATAATATGATTAACTTAATTCTTTTATTGACAAATAGATAAATATATCCATTTGTTCTCAACGACTTATTGTAGTGTGTTTATATTCTACCAAACAACTTTTGTTTTAATATATACAATTAAATCGTTTTGACAACTTATCATCAACATCAACCTGACTGTCCTGGATTTTATCTGCCTCTTCTGCATTGAGCCGGATTCATATACGCTGGGGTATCGTTGTTCCCCTTCTTTAGATTAATTTGACCTTAATGCATTAATTTCTTTCTTCTATTTTTAACCTTCATTGGAGTCGACGCAAAATCCAACAGACCCATCTTCCTTGGGAGCTAAGACTACTGATGATGACCAAGGACTTGATGACACTTCAATGACGTCTTCTTCTATCATTTTTGTTACCATGCTTTCAACTTCTTTTTGTTTTACAAATGGCAGTCAGCTACGAGCTTGTTGGATAGTATGAGCATCGCCAGTGTGTATTCGATGCTGGACCAATTTTGTTCACACTGTATTTGTCTTGGTTATCAAGAAAATGTTGTATTATCTTCCTTTTATTACCTCTCCATTTTAATGTTGTTTAAAAACCGGCAGTTAATTAGGAATATGCGTTTTTTTGTGCATCTGATAATGTAGAGCTCCCTGGCGACATATCTCTTCTTGTCATAGATCTTAAATGTGGACTAAGACTCGTTCCTCTATTTGGGCTTCTTGGACTACTATTTCTATTAGTACTCTGCCCTGTAACGTGTGTTTCCTTAGCATGTACTCACTTTTTCGCAGATAAAACATCGTCTTGGAGCTCGTCTGCCAGTTCTATTTCCTAGAATCTTTAGTTCTTTTAAAATTTTTTCAAACTTGGAAGGCGAGCGACAAAGCTGTCTCTTAATGTCACTTTCCGAAAAACGTCAACTTTGCGGTTGGATTTCTAAATGCAAAAACCTACTTTAGATAGTGATCGTTAAAAAAATATATTTTTAGACTTTATTACATAAATCTTTCATGAATTGGTCACAATTAATATATATATACATTATTGTTTGTTGAAAAATAGCTTTTAATCAACAAAGCCGGCTCTGCATTTATAAAGTTTTCAAATTTTTTATGAAAGATTCGATGATTTTTGCAAGCGACTGAATTCTTTATTTTCTGCTTTCATTATAGACTAATAAAAAGTTTCAAAATTCTTCAATGTTCCATTGAAACTTCTGAAAGTTAGTCTTTTTAATTACTCATTCCATTATTTCATCTTTAAAACGGTTATGGCTTTAGAATTATTGATAATAAAGACGAAGACAACAAATATTGAAAAGAATTAAATATTGTCACTAAAAATATTTAATTTTTATTAAATACTGAAATGAGAATATTAGACTACACTTTATACTTTTTTTTACCTATATTTTAATAAGATATAGTTACGAAAATGAATTAAAAGTATGTAGACAATTTAGGAATACATTCCTAAATAACCAGCGGTAAAAACAATTTACAGCAAGAATCGAACCAGAGATATCTAGTAGATACCAAGTAGACGTTTACCTCTCTACCTACCATTCCTGAATGTCCTACTGACTTTTAAAATTTAATAGATTATAAATAAATTCGTTTATTTACACTATCCGCTGTTATTACATACTTTTTTTCAAAATTAATTGCATATAATTTATCTGGATGGGTTATTAGTAAGTTCAAAAAGTAGAAAATTTACTAGTAATTCATATTGTGTATTTTTATATGTTTAATGTATAAAATTATGCTTTTTTTATTATTTATTACGCCTATTTTACTTTAAACTAAAAGAAACAATATTAATTTGTTGTATATTGGCTTTTTTCTGCATTTTATTGTTTTAAATTCTTGTTTATTTTGGAAAACCGTATCTCTAGGGGTAGCAGAAGTGTTTTCAATGCCAACAATTAATAGACGTTTGTCAGTGAGGAGCTCCAACCATCATAGCCAAGTCAACCCTCCTCTCAACAACGCTGTTGTTTTAGGTATTTTACAAGGTGTGATTGCTAACAGGACCATGTTAACTGGATATTCAATAATAAATATATTCATTTCTAGACACATAAAACCATTCACGGTAAAAAAAGTTGATCCTGCTTGAGAGTATAACGTTTGGAATCTATTGGAAAACTGGTATATTGTTTTTTTACCGTACTAACTTGAAAAATAATTTAATTTTACCTTTAAATATTTGTAGGTAGCAAATTAAACATACTAGTAATAAAAATACCACTGAACCCATTGATTCCATATTTAAAATATAAAATATCTGGGGTATTGATATCTTAAGTGATACTTTTAGAAAAAGCAGGATAAACTTTAAGTTACTGTCCATAAACGTCATAAATATATCACACAATTCAATAGCATTTTTGCTTTTTTGCATCATCTTTATTGACTTTTTAAAAACTTTAAATAAATATAACTACTAAAGAAATATTAATACTATTTTTTCATTATAGTTAATTTTTAATATCACTGGTCTTAATAATTTTTAAAAAAATAAGTTTTTTACCTTTATTTACTGTATAATTTATAATTCTATTTAATTCATTGTAATCATTTGCTGTTTAAAATTTAAAAGTCCCGCCATAACTTGATCTTGCTTGCTCAGTGGTACCAACCCACATTTATCATTTTTGATAACAACTTTTTTGACAAATTTTCAGGAAATTAATTTCAATTTCTCAAGGTGGCATTTTTCTTGTCAACTTTATTGTCAAATGTCAATTGTCAATCATTCTGTTTTGGGCACATTGTTAAAAAAAAATCCTGTGCGTATTTTTTGTACCCCAATGTGTCTTCTTAAGTTTTTCTGACGATTAAGTGTACAACATTTTTTTATTTTATTTTTTAGTAATGATAGAGTTTATTGTATTGTAGCAGCTTTATTTTTTTTCTTATAGAGTCTTTGATGATGACTTAAGAGGCTGAAAGCGCTCAGACGAATTATTTTATAGAGTTTTATTAAATAAAACTCAATATTTACACACTTTAAGTACCCTCTAGCTTCATTTCTGATTACGATATGTGTACACATCACTCAACCTCTTCTAAAATAAATCTGAAACAAATCTCCCCCCTCAATTGTTTCTGTCTAATGTCTTCTACCTGGTAGTATTCCTTTTATTTCATTTCCACTTCCAGAATGCATAATTTGGATAAAGTTTCACTTTACCTTTTGGAACCTTTTGGAACCTCTTGGCTTAAGGTTTCCAGGATTGTTGGAATCTACAATTAAGCTGAATACATTTTTTAATCTGTAAACTATTTATTTCATTTAACCATGAAAGAAATATATTCTCGCATCCAACTTTTCCAAAATAAGTCAGCAAGTTTTTGGGAATATTTCTATCTATGCAGTAAATCAATATTCTCCTTTCTTAACATCAATACAAAGCATTGTTGTGTAAGCGCGACCAAATGACACGTGCGTAAGTGGTCTTGAGTTGATTTCCTCAAGAACTATTCTCAAAACATGTTCTTGAGGCGTCTTGGTTTTTAAAATTTCTTAAAAACATTTCTTGACGTTCTGTATACGTCTTTGCCATGCTCTTTCCATATTTGGAGCGTTTGCTGTTGATTCTTTTGATGCAACAAAACTTACTGATCTCGGATTGATTTAGTTTTGCTACATTTTTTGATAGCTCTCGTTCTGCACCTTTAAAGTTTGAACCATTCTCTCTGAACACTGTTTCAAGAAATCCAGGTCTGACATGCATGAGTCCGTCAGTCATAGATCATGAACGATTTCTTAGTGAATTGCTCGAGTTACCATACAGGTAAAGATAACTCCATAACGTTTTTCCCTACTCCTTTTAACTACAACTTCTGATGGACCAAAGTAGGCTACTCCAGGTGGCAACTGTTTCATTAGCTAAAGCTGGTATATCTTACTTTTTGACATTTAGCCCAATAGCTTCTGACTGCTTCTCTTATTTAAGGAATCCAATAATTTTGCCTACAAATATTAACTATAGTCTCTTATCTATGGTGGTTCATCTCTTCATGATAATGATGATGAATTAGTAGATGTCATGTTTGGTATTTTAAACAAAAAAATGTTTAATATTACTGTCTAATTGTGTAGATTTTTTTACTTTCCACACTCAGATTTATCATATGTACAATTTAAAGTATAAAACCTATAGGTAGTATGCCGCTCTTTTCCTCATGAAATAAAACACATTTCTTCTGAAAAACAGTCCTTTTGTTCCTTTTTTAGCAATATATTTTCAGCTTCTTAATCTCTTCACAAGTGAATTCATGATCTCTTCTATGTTATTTGTTTTTGTACAAAAATATTTTAATGAACATGCAGTCTCAACCACTTTAAAAATCATTTTGGATCAGGGATGCATCAGAAATATTTTCAACATCTTCAACATTTACCTTGCCATCGTTTTCCAAATACCAGTTTTCTGAATTTTGTAATAGAAACAATGGACCATTAAGGCAACTACTTTTTGAAGAAAAGTCAATAGTTTTTCTAACTTCATCGGCTACGTTTAATTTGGATTCAACGTACACCCACTCCTATGTATTTTTGGCATTTGTCATGGATGAGATCTTATTATTCACGTATGGATGATTCAGTCTTAAATTATCCATGTCAATAGTCTGAGTAGGTAATAATAATTCTTCAATGGTTTGTACGTGTCTTAAAAAATAATATAATAATATTTGTCAGTAGCAACATCAAAGTTGATTCTAAAGTTTACTATATTTGAATCATTCTGTACATTTTCTTGATTCATTATTAATTTAAATTGAATCCTAAGAAACAAAGGCTCTGAGTAATCTTGGGTTTACAGGTATTATCTAAATTCCATGGCATATCCCCTTCAATCCATCAAATAATATTAGAAAATTCACTTACCACTGACTCCCTTGACTTGCGGTTATTCTCCTTTGACTCTGAATCCACTTCTTTCAGTCTAGATATTCCAATTATACAGGGTGTCTGTAAAAGGTCTTTACAAAAACATAAGTCAATTTAAGTAAAATTACCTTAGTACAAAGTTGCTTCGTTTGGGCTCCATAGGGCCTTGAAGTTACAATTTTTAAATCGTTTTTCCCATATAAATTTAAAACGGCATATGCGATTTTGCTGAAATTTGGTATATTGGTAGAGTTTTATGTGGCAAAAAAAGTGGTATTAAAATTTTGTCCGATAATGATACATAGGCGTAGAACTTGATTTTTTAAATAATTGCACCTTTAAAAATTCTACGCCAATAGAATAAAAGAAGTTTGAGTATGAAATTTAGATTGCGCAACTCATTTACTTTAAAAAAGATACTCTTGATAAGACTCGATTACTCTCATGGTTTTGACGAAATTTGCATTTTAGTAATTTTAGAACATAAACAATAATTATTAAAATACAAACTTTGTCAAAACCATGAAAGTAAATCGAGTGTTATCAAGGGTACTCTTTTGTAGTAAATGAGTACCCAATCCAAATTTCATACTCAAACCCCTTTTCTGCCATTGGCGTAGAATTTTTAAAGGTGCAATTATTTATAAAAGCAAGTTTTACGCCTATGTATTATTATCGGACAAAATTTTATACGATGAAAAACATAAAAATGTACTTTTTTCATATCTTCTTCAACACTTCTAATCGAGACTTTTAACAAAAATACTCGATTCTTGCCATGTACGATTTTTTGAGGAATATTAATTATTTGCCTGCAATACGTATACAAAAACATTTATTGTTGGTTTCCATAGTTTCATCTAAATAAAGATATTGTCAAGTTTTAACACCTAATCTCTTGTTAACAAATGAAAGTGTTCTATCTGACTCAATAATTAAAAAAACAAATGCCTGGTTTATTAATATGGCTGTACAATATACTGGGTCTTCAACAATACCGAAACCCCACGTGACCAAATCGTCATGACAGCGATTGGTGAAAATAAAAGTAAAAATCCCTAAATTTGAGCCAGTGCCGTAGATCTTCTTTTTTTATGGTCTGCAACTACGAGAACAAAATTCAGTTAGGTAACTGTTAGAATTACAACACAAAATCATAATATTAATTAGAGGTGCTTTACATTATTGTATTTTAATGTTAGAATTCGATATTTTAATTAGATTTAATCAAATTCAATAATCTAATTTTTAAAATTATGATATAAATAACATAACCTTAAAAACTGAGCTCTAGTTTGTATTTAACGAAAAGAATAATAAACTGAAATATGGTTCGTACTAGTTATTGTCACTACTACAAAAAAAAACCTTTACTAGAACAGGGCACAAAAAAGTTATGGATAAAAATGTTATGCATTAAAATATGAATAAAATTAAAAAGTATTTACTTTAGATTGATTCTTTAAGGGCCGATTCCACCGAGATTAAAATGACATTGTTAATGTAAAAATGTCATTTTAAACTTCGTTTAACACAACGGTGGAATCGGTCCTAAGATAATTTAGCTACAGCTGAAACTCTAAATACGATAGGCAGAAGACAATGGCAGTATTTGGCAATTATTGCAGTTTAAGTAAACAAATTTAAAACTTACTGGAATTGAACCTGGACAATGGGAAGTAATAAACACATAATTTAAGTTTGTTCTATTATTTATTTGTTACAGGGTTTAAACCATTTACAAAAAACATTGTTATTTATATGCATACAAAAAAATATTAATATTATTAATGTAACAAGCACATATTTGTTTTACTTTAAAGCTCTTACTTCTCACTTTAAATTATAAAGGCATATCTATAAACAACTATTTTATTTAAAAGGTTATTGAGTAGTAATTGGTGGTGCACAAACGATACTAATTCACAGTACCTATCTGTTCAAAATCTTTACCACCAGCTTTAATGCAAGCATTAAACGTTCTTTTTTGAACACATTATGCAGTTTCTCTTCAGTTATATTTTGTATATCATTCAATATAGGTGCTCCAATTCATAAAAGTCACAAACGATTTTGAATTGAGCGATCTGTAATATTCCATAT